ACCCCACTCCAACCAAATACAACCCCCTTCACTGTTGAAGATTCCCATGCTTTGACCAAGACACTCTTTTACTGAGCATTAAAAACGTCCCCGATGAAAACTCTCGGGTTGCTAAGCGTGCGCGTGCAGGAACTTCCGTGCGGTCAGTGCGCAGACACACAGAGTGCCGAGTGCACGAAGGGCAGAAACGCAGAGTAGGACGGCTCCCGTCTTGTCGACGTTCGTTCGCATGTGTGCGTGTGTGTGACGATGATGAATGTAGTACGGAAAGGACGAATTCAACTGCGGGGTAATTTATGATGGCAATTTCTAACGCAGGTAGCGGTTGATTAGAGACATTCGCTTGCACGGGTCATAAAAAATCCCGTTTGGACCATCAGGTGCACGAATTGTGGGGTTTTGGGGATCACGAACCTTGCATTCCTTGGAGCTGGGTAAATGAACTTATTAAAAATAATTAAAGCATCGATTTGAGCGCCGAGAGGCCTTTGGCTTACGGCACGAGTGTGCTCGGAGCTAAATGTCTCCAAGGCCAGGAGAATCGTACACGTGGCACCAATCTGTACGATCTGGTCTGCCACGAACACTTCTCATTCAAGCTTAGTTTTCCCATTTGGCCCTTGTTTGAAAGTCTCAGCCCCGTGCTAGCAATGAGTGCCTCAAAAAACTGGGCTATAGCGCCTTTGGCCGACGAGTGCAAACAACCAACCTGAAACGTTTTTGTCTTTTGCGTCTGGTTGTCCTTATTTGACGATTCGAGCACTTTCATCCTAGGAAAGAACCAGTGACGATATTTTGGAGCCAGGACTACGAGGAAATCTGAATTTTAATTTTAATTTTGTAATTTTCTCTTTGAAAATGGTGATAAGAATAAATGAAGCTATGACAAAGCGGACAATGATGCTGGCAAGTAAGCGCGCGGCCGCGATGCGGTTTGGCCGAACGAGCGTAATAGAGAAAAAGAGGTCAGGTAATCCGGATACCATGCAGAAGTCCTACGTTTTTCTAAGTAGATTTTCTCATGGTAAGAGAATTCATTCGCTACAAGGAATGTTACATCTGGCAACAAAACTAAAACTTCATTGTCCACAGAAATTGAAAAGGGAAATACAAGGTCAAGAAAGGTAAGAAATCATGAGAAAAAAAGGACTAATAAATTAGAAGTAATAAGAAAAGGTAAAATACTGACACAAAATTTTCAATTTCCGGCTTCGCGCGCATTTTCTCAAACATCCGCGGCCACAGGCGTGCGGTTGTGTTGCGGCCGCACATATTATATCTTTCTCAACTGACACTATTTTATGACATTCTTGAACTATTCACCCAATTTAGCGAATCAAATAAATAAATTGAGTGGTAATTCGACATCGCCGCGACGCGTACGCGCGCAACCTACCCTGGCTAATTACCGTGCATTCTAACAACTGGCCAATCAAATGAGAGAGGCGCCTTGTGAAAATAGACCTTTCGGTTGATGAAAATGAGGTAGGAGCAATGTAGTATCAAAGCAATTAAAAGTATCTATTAGAGTGAAAACAACAAACAACGCTAGCACCGCTTCATGTTCACGGTGTCGAGGATCTGCGCCCATCGCAGGCGTGCGTCTGCGTCGCGGCAAGCTCGGGAGTCGCAATAGTCGCTCAGCTAGATTGGAATCTGTGTGAGTTCTATTCGAACTCAGAATTCAAAACTTAATCCATAAAAGCAACTTTGGATTATGAAGACTCGTTCCAGTCGACTTGCTCCGAGGTGGTTACCCATAAGTTAGCCATTTTTCTAAATTTGATTATTTGTGATGGCGCGCATAGTGGGGGGCGGAACGAAATCCGTAGTGCTACACTCATAACTTTCCTCATCCTTTCAAGGTGAAAAAGAGTGGACCAATGAGGAAGGCGCAGTGATGGCCCTAACTCCGCCCATAAGATCAACGCGGATGGTGCCTTCAAATGCATTTGCACATCAGTTCTAGGTTGACAACAATCACAGGCACATATTACTAACTTCTGTAACCGCTTCTCTGCAGATGTGCAGTTTCAAGTAAAAGAACACGATTTCATTCAACGAAAATTTTGAAAAATCGCTAGGACAGGACTAGAGGCGGGGTGTGGCTAGAAGCTCTTGGGACAGAACGTGTTTGAATCGCAGAATGGCTACACCAGTAACAGGAACTTTTGCTTTGCCTATACTCCACTTCGCTTGACTGAAGCAATATGTAGTTCATATTATCCAAATAACTTAAACTGAAATTAAAGGAGAAATTAATAAATCGGTTGACCCAAGAATTAGTGGCCAAAACGTGGACGGTGCACGATTTCTGGTCCAACTTCCGAAAACCAACTGAAAAACCACGAAAACGCAGTTTCCATTTGAAACCTTCAACCTCGCGGTGTACAAATGACTTTGTTTTCGCTTTGAATGTACGAACGATACTAGCAAAGGATACATAAATGGCTCGAGTGAAATAGCTAGACCGCGACGCGACAGGCGCTGCTACCGCGCGCATGTGTGGTAGGAATGGAGACCATGACGGCTCACCAGATGTAACAGCGTCCTCATCTAAGTGTGAATAACAATTCACTACTACATCAGCAGCACACGGTGCTGACTCCAAGACATGTCCTGCCGTTAAGGGAACTTTTTGCGAACTACGACCCCTTGAAATTCCCTACTCTGGTACGTCCCCCTTCCCGATCCTCTATCCTATCTACCACCTTCCTGATCTCTTCGGACTTCCTACGGCTTCTCTAGAGTTTTGTCTAGAAACACCTACACACTTTCTCCGAAATTTCCCCGAAAAAATTGCCGCTGAAGGGGGGGGGGGAAGCCGCATATAGCGCGTAACATGACCCCTACGCCAGGTATCACCATCATACAACGTTCCCTGATTGACCATTAATTTACACCTAATTCTCCGTGAAGTAAAGATTCCCGTCAGCGCTTTGTCATGCTGTTTTTCGCTTCCAGTTCGATTGCACTGTTTCTATAGTTCTACACGCGTAAAATCAATACTTATTGGAATGTGGAATGACTGCGAAGAAAAGCAGCAAGCAGCAGCAGCGGCAAGAAGATGATGAA